CCCAGAATTCCCCAGCCAGCCATGGGAATTGAAGTCCACTCATCTTAAAGTGGCCAAGTTTGGACAACACTGCCGTAGGTTCTAGTCCTGCCTTAGGCACGAAGCCGGCCGGGTGACCTTGAGCCAGTCCCTCTCCCTCAGCCCTAGGAAGGAGGAGGCCAGGGCAAACCACTTCTGAAAATGTTGCCAAAACTGGCAGTCACAGGAATCAAGACTGACTCCAGGTTGTGCACACACACACACACATGCACACACACGAACAGCCCATAATCTCTCATACACATACCCACACGTTGCAGATAACAACTCTTTTTTCTCTTTTGATTTGGAGGGCATCGAGGGCCAGATTGCAACAAAACACACAGCGGTGGGGAAGAAGAGGCGTGTCTGAACAGACCAGACCTGAAAGTTAAGTTTCCAGCAGATTCAAGGTTACTTTGATCCATTTAGATAAAATAAACATCCTACGAGTTGCAGCCCTCAAGCCACACGCGTGCTTCATCAGGTCAGTCAGAAACCAAACAGTGACACTTGTCAGACACCCTTGCCCAACTTGTTTTTAATTTGCTTTGTGTTCCTAAATTAACGTGTTGCCGTTTTCCAACTCATTCCGTTCATTAATGGTTTAATGTACTGTAAGTAGCCCCAAATGTACTCTATGTAGACCCTAATTTAGTAGTCAGGATAAGATGCTACATGAACACAGCCATAGACTCTGTGTTTGTATTTTCATTGTGCGGAAGCATGTCTGTATCTATAGGTGTGCATTGTGTTCATGCACAGGGGAAACAGAATGCAGGATACAATCTGCCATCCATTTTTCAGCTTCCAAAAACTCCAAATCTTTTCCTTTTTACATCCCCCAAGGACTCCATAATGGAAATGGATGGTTCTGATCCATATGCTGGCCTGCTCAATACATTTGACAATTTTCTTGGAGTTGTATGCTGTACAGCAATGTTTCTCAACCTCAGCTCCTTTAAGATGTGTGGACTTCATCTCCCAGAATTCTGGCTGGGGAATTCTGGGAGTTGAAGTCTACACTTCTTAAAATTGCCAAGGTTGAGAAACACTGCTGTAGAGGAAGATCCAGAAGCAAGGTATGAACTGTCTTCTGGGGAAATTTCTCCATCATTCCTGATTACTGAGGAACCACTAATACATTGGTGAGAATCTCAAGCGGTTTGCAATGCAAAGACCCAACTAATACAATTTGCAAATAGATTTATCCCCACCTACTCACCCTCCCGCGCATAAAATACAAGGCTCCCCAAACATGGAAACTGATTTAAATTTTTAATTTCAACAATGGATCGGTGTTCCAAAAAAACCAGCACAATCTCTTCAACAGAAATTTCCAGGGAAAGAAATGCACAATTTCCTGAGAGGCAACAGTGCAAATATGGTCAACGGTGGCCTCAGGCAGCAGTCAGAGTTCTCTCCTTGAACTGAGAAGGTTTCCAGTAGAAACAGGAACAGTTTTTCATTTGCCTGTCCAGAGTCAAAAAGTCTCCAAGCCATCTGAAGAAGAGATCTTCCCTTAAAAGAGGTCTACGTACTTTGGGGCAGTCCTTTTAAAAGCCAAATCCTTCCTTGGATGTGAATTAACCTTTGGGATGTGAACTAATTGAGCCTTTGCCATAGCTATGGAGGCAGTTCCATCAAAAGATAGATAACCTTCTTATGGAAGATCAGACATTCTGCAGGCAGTGCCAAATACCAAGATTCATAAAGTCCATCCTCATCTCCGTGGGATCTCAGCAGCTGTAGGAATCCGCCAAAGCTGGTGAGAATGGCAAATATACATTGCATGGGCTGGTGGGCTCAACAATGATATGAAACAGAAGACCAACATTCAAAATCAAAGAATTCAGACCTCAAATGAAAGAAAAACTGATTGGCCAGGAAGAAAAAGGCCAGCTTCCTTAACTTTTCTCGGGCCGGTTCCGATTGAGAACAGCTTTGGGGGCAAATTCCAGCTTGTCCTTGAGGCTGACCACTTGGGTAAGGTCCTTCCCAACACTCTCTTGGAGCTTGCGGTCCTCACGTCTTTCTGAGATGCTCTTCTCGTCCTCAGGTGTCTGTGGAGGTGGCTTGCCCCGGATGAACCACTCGAGATGGTAGCCTACCACCCCGACCACAAAGGCTACAGGGAAGGTAACGTAAGGAGCATAGGTTCGCACGCTCGCCCAGAAGATGGGCCACATGACTCCAGCAGGTTCTGCAGAAGGAAAAGAACACGCAGTTGAAGAACCAGCAACCCCTTTAAACCCACAGTGGCATTCGAGGCACACTCACAAAACAGATTCCATGGGGAAACTACCTGTATTCATCAGCTACGATCGGTCTGGCCAGATGCCCCAAAGCATGTTTAAAAGCCCACCCACCTCTCTCGAGAAGACTCACTACACCTCCAGCTTAGCTCTTCTGCACAGCTGAGCACATTGTGAAGGCTCCAGGCTGTGATCAAATACCATTTTTATTTATTAAAGAGAATGCAAAAGGCTTCATTTTTAAAGATTTATGGGTAAGGTAGGGAAGGAATCTGGTGGTCACTAAGAGCAGTGTCCACAGGGACCATTACACCTCCATAGCTGCCCCACAACTTGGCAGGAAGCCTGCATTTAAGCCATTTCTGCAGAAGCACAATTTTAACAAATATTGGCTTTTAATGGACTCAGGCCAAGAAGCCATTTTGATAGAAAAATGGGTACTCATCCGCCAGATGATTGAATTCCCCAGGAAGATGACAAAACAACCACGGAGCATGTGATAGCACTTTAAAAGGCTAACGCTAACTTTACTGGTCTTTAAAAAGCCACAAGGCTCTGGACTGGTCTTCCCTGGGTAACTATTTGAAATGTCATTTCATCCCCTGGGGTCTTTCTTTGTAGAAAGCCAGAAATCAAAGTCACTTTATTTAAGCAGAATTATCTCCTGCTTGGCTGGCTCCAAAGTCCTATTACAAACAAACACATCCAATTCTCATTGTGGCTTCACACCCTGCTTGCGCGAGGCAGAGGCCCCATCGGCCCTTTGAGGCAGACTAGACTAGGAAACCAAAGTTATGAATGCTAAGACTACTTTTATTATAAAGTTATAGTAACAGAATCTTGCACGTCTGAATGTGCTTCCCCACTCCCTCTCTTTATCTTCGTGAGACGTGGGGAGTGTCTTGCCTGAGACACTTTCTCAAATTACATTTCCACCCCGGACTCAGATTTCTTTTATCTGACTGTTGTCTTGGTTGCAGCTCTTCCTCCTGTTCCTC